AACCTTGAAGAATGATCATTTCACTTCCATCAACAGCGGGTGAATGAATTTTCTGGAGAAGAGACTGAGAGTGAAATCATAAGTATAATAAGAATATATGGAATTTCCACTTCAAAAGGTCAAGACTCCCAGATATAAATGTCCTCTTCCTGCTCCTCTTCTGTACCTCATCATTTTTAGACTAATAAGAATTAAACTCTTTAACTTCTAAATACTTCACTGAGTCCAGGAAGTTTACGTTTTGACACACTGATAAATAGTCCTGGGGAGTGTTGATTCACTGTAACATCCTGATGACCCAGGGGAGCCCAGTAAGTGATGTAGGGAAGTAGAGATGAGGGAAGCATGGATTTTACCTGCAGAAATGCTGGGACACAAGAGTTGGATGTGTGATGAGTGAGGTCTCCAAGTAGAACTTTCTGCAATGTTCAACTGTGGAGGTCCTTGGGGTTCTCTCAGGTCCATTGTGTCTCAGCCCCACTCTGCTCCCACGTTTCTCTCCAAGCCTCAATTTCTGGATCTTCATTTCCCTAGCCCAATCTCCCCTTCTGTAGGTCTGATCTCTGATCTGTCTTGGCATTCCCAACCCCTCTGACATTTCTTATTATTTCGCTGGAGGTGTACATACCCTCCTCATCAAATTAAAAATTGTTTTATTCAAATATAATTTTCACACTAAAACTACATTACAAATATTTGCTCATGGATTTTTAAAAATTAAATACTGCTCTTTAACGAGCACCCTACACACATTCGCATCTATGCTACCTTCTAGACATGCCCTCCCACCACCCAGGTAACTACTATTCTGAAACCTGATAGTATATATTATTTTTGGATGGTTTTATATTTTGCATAATTGAATCCCTTAGTATGTCTTAGTTAACATCAAGCTTATTTCACATGTTCATTCATATTACTGGATGTGGTTGTACATCAACCGTTATCATTGGTGTGTAGTATTTCATTGAATGACTATACCCATTTTTATTTATCCCTTTAAAAACATAATAATAGACTTTGTTTTTAGAGCAGTTTTAGATTTACATAAAATGTCAGTGGAATGAACAGAGATTTTCCATAAACCTCCTCAACCACCTCACTTTTTCCCCAATTATTAACATTTTTCCTTAGAGTGGTGCATTTATTACAACTGATGAGCCAATATTGATACATTGGTATTATTAACTAAAGTCCAAAGTTTATACTAGGGTGAATTCTTGCTGTTGTGTGTTCCATGGATTTTGATAAATGTATGTGGACATGCATCTACCATTACAGTATCATATAGAATAAATATCATATAGTATAAATAGAATAACTGCCCTAAATATCCTGTGTTACAGGTGTTCATCTCTCACTGCCTTTTTGTGAATTCTTGGCAACCACTGATATTTTTACTAACTCCATGATTTTCCCTTTTCCAAAATGTCCCATAGTTGGAATCATATAGTATGTAGCCTTTTCATATTGGTTTCATTCATTTATGTTTCCTCCATATCTTTTCATACTTTGATAGCTTATTTTTTATTGCTGAATAATATTCCATTGTATGGACATACCACAGTTTGACAGTTCATTTACTTTTGAAGGATATCTTGATTGCCTCCAAGTTTTGGTTTTATAGATAAAGCTGTCATAAATAGCTCTCTAAAGGTTGTGTATGCATATTTGTGTGTGTAAATAAGTTTTCAATTGATTTGATTAAATACTAATAGATACAATTGCTGGATCATATGGTAAGAGAATATGTTTAATTTGTAAGAAACTGTCAAACTGTCTTCTAAATTGGCTGGACCATTTTGCATTCCCTCCAACAATGAATGAGAGTCCCTGTTGCTCCACATTTTTGCCAGCATTTTGTGTTGTCCGTGTTTTGGATTTTAACTATACTAATAGGTGGGTAGTAATATCTTATTATATTAATTTGCAATTTCCTGATGACAAGTAATGTTAAGGATCTAATCATATACTTATTTGACATATGTATATCTTTTTTCGGTGAGGTGTCCATTCAAATGTTTTGCCAAGTTTACAAAATGAATTTTTGTTTTCTTATTCTTGAGTTTAAATAGCTCTTTGTATATTTTTGATACCAGTTCTTAATCAGAAATGTGTTTGTAAAGGTTTCCTCCCAGTCAAGATTTCCTTTTTCCTTCTCCTGTGCCTTTCATACAAAATATATTTTTAAATTTTATAAAAGTCTTACATATCAATTTTTTCTTACATAAACTGTGCTTTTTGTATTGTATCAAAAATGTCATTGCTAATCCCACGGTTCTTAGATTTTGTTCTATGTTACCTCCGTGTGGTTCTATAGTTTCTTATTTTATATTTAGGTTTATGATTATTTTGAATTAACTTATGTGAAATATGTAAGTTCTGTGTCTAGATTACTTCATTCTTGATATATAATCCCAGTTCAGAAGTGGGGGCCAGGGTGCTTTGATACAGTATGTTGTGAAAGTTTCCAGATCAAAATGGTTTTGCTCATGTTTAAAAATACCCTGACAAATAGAGCCAGGGAAAGGATGTGAAGCAGGGAGTTCTCATGTACTTATGCCTGGTAACAAGAACTATCATAAAGGACCCTGCAAAACCACAACCTTGTACAGAAGCCACCTCAACCTTATGTAGGAGATACTTCAGTGAGGACATCTGCCCAGCAACTTCCTGTTCAACCTTGGACTAGCATCTCCCTTGTTATTGATCCTTGATCCTTGTAGCCAAAGATTATTATCCCCAAACAATTAGTCATCCTCCATCAATTTTCCTTTAAAACCCTTCATCTTCCTTTCTCTACTGTAATATAAACAGAGTTTACTATGGCACAAATATTCTCATTGCCATGATTTATTCCCAATTAAACTAATAAGTCTTTTAGAGAGCTTCTTTCTGTTTGTTATTTAGGTTGACAGTGTGGTGGCAGCTCTGAATCCTGAATCAGGGTGGCTGAGGTAGCTCCAGCTGAGGTGGCCCAGGGAAGGGGAAGGAGGGGGATAGTCGTTCAGGAAGCCAAAGTCTTTGCAGTCAAAAATCTGCTGAGCTGTTGGAAATGAATCTGCAGGGCCTGTGATAGCTGTGCTGGTTTTTGGTGTCCTTGGAGGCCAAAAGCTTCTGGGTCCACTGCAGAGTGGGTTGCTGGAGGCAGAAGAGGCTCCAGCCACTTGGCTGATCCTGATGGCCCTTCCTTCTCCTTCATTCCTATCCCTCTCCAAACATCTCTGCTATGCCTGTATTCCCAGAAATCTAGGTGGGGTGAATTCAAAGCAGGTCCTTTGGGCATAGCTTCAAAAGGCTGGGGAAGTGGCTGTTCACTCCCCACTCCTTTTCCCTGCAGGAGGAACTATGGGAATGGAGAGTTTCTGCTCCACACTGAGCAGGGCAGGCCTGACGGTCGGAGGTCCAGGCAAAATGAAGAGGTTCTCCCTACCAATTTTTGTGCAGGAATTCTCATGTTTTTGCCTCACTATGTTGTTGAAAATATATTGATGGACTCTTGATCTCTCCCAGGGTATTTTTGTTCATGCATAGCTGATTGAATTTTATGGGGAGAGAAGGCTGGATCTCCTACTCCACCATTGTCTTCCTCTGCTACTTTTTATTTTTGCATTTGTTGTGATATTTAAGATAACATTTGTAATTACTCTCTTGTTCAATTTATTTTAGATCGCTGTATTTAAGAGGGACTCCATTGAAATTCCCTTTCATGTAACCAGGAGAAGTGGAACACACATATGTGTTTGTGTGGGAAAACATGTGACCCTGAGTCACAGGCCTGGGCAGGAATTCATGATAGCATGGGAGGAACCCTTTGATCATGAAGATTGAAGAGACTCCTGAGAATAGAAGAAGATATACAGTGGATGATATTGTCCATCCATTGCCCATTGGTGGTTATGACAAAATTTCAAAAGGGTGAAACATTTCATTTACAGTAATGGAAAGAGTCATGTATTTACAGGCAACACTAGAAATTCTTAAGCGGAAATAGGAAAAGAATTCAATCATAGAAGTTGAAACATACCAGCCAGTCCTTCACCCCAATAAATATCCTAAATCATGGACAGCAATCTTTTATTTCTATGAATAGATGTACAGCTTAAGAAAATGTTTTACATATTAATATAACACATAACTTAAAATGTTTCTTCATTATATTTAAGGTCATCTCTGAATCTAAAACCATACTAAGACAAAGTATTCAAATTTGTCTTTGTATTTAGATTCTACTTGGAGGCATGTATTCAATAATCAATTTCTACCGGTGACTGTGGAGGCACTGTGGACACCAAGCTGAGTAAGGCAATGGATCCTAATGAAGAGAAAGACCCAATTACTAGCTGTAATACACACAAGGTTGTTAAAGTCCAAGTAATCAGGAAATGTGGTTAAGGAAGTGATACAGGAAAGAATGATGCACATGAGTGAAAAACTGGGATCTCACACATATTTTTACTATAAAATTATATAAAAACCTTTAATGCCACATACGAGTAATACAATGCATGGCTATTTCTTTAGTAAAACAAAAATTATTATTTTAGAATATATTAAAAAACTGGGATCTCACACATATTTTTACTATAAAATTATATAAAAACCTTTAATGCCACATAAGAGTAATACAATGCATGGCTATTTCTTTAGTAAAACAAAAATTATTATTTTAGAATATATTAGTCTTAAGAAATCCATGTTCTCAATCATATAATTGGAATTTTCCAGATATTTTTGATCCAAACTTGGGATTAATTTGTGAGAATAGAAAAATGACAAAGGGTAAAACCATCTACATACTAGAGAAAACAGAAAACTTAATAAAGTGAGATACTTAAATTGTATAAATTAGAAAGACCAAAGTAATGTAAATCCCAATAAATAAACAGAAGGAGCAGGTTGTACTTCTATAATATGCTAAAAGAATCACAATTTCTGCATCTGAGTCTTTGATCCCTGCAATCAGAGACACATCTTCAGTAGCAGCACAATTGGTCATTTTAGAGTTTCCTACCAAAGAATCTTCTCAGAGCCCTCTTTATGTCTTTATTCCTCAGGCTGTAGATGAAGGGGTTCAGCATGGGTGTGACCACAGTGTACATCACTGAGGCTGCAGCACTTGAGTGTGAGTTGTGTGTAGCAGCAGAACTAAGGTACACTCCTAGCATCGTACAATAAAATAAGGAGACGACCGAGAGGTGAGACGCACATGTGGAAAATGCTTTATACTTCCCCTGAGCTGATGAGATTGTGCGTATTGTGGAAGCTATCTTACAATAAGAGAAAAGGATACCAGCAAGAGGTCCACCACCCAGCAGCACAGATGCAAAATATATCACCACATCATTAAGAAAAGTGTCAGAGCAGGCACGGTGGACCACCTGATTAAGTTCACAGAAAAAGTGGGGGATTTCCAAGTCTGTGCAGAAGGACAGCCGCAACACCATTAAGGCATGTACCAAGGATTGCACTGCACTGATGATGACAGACACCAGAACCAGCCACACACAGAACTGGGGGTTCATGATGACCGTGTAGTGCAGGGGGTGACAGATGGCTACAAACCGGTCATAGGCCATCACACTCAGGAGAAGGTCATCTAACACTGCGAAAAGCATGAAAAAGTACATCTGGGTGATGCAGCCTGCATAGGTTATGACTTTGCTCTTTGTCTGGATGTTCAGCAGCATCTTTGGGATGGTGGTGGAGGTGAAACAGATGTCTACAAACGACAGGTTGGAGATGAAGAAGTACATGGGTGTGTGGAGGTGTGACGAAATTCAACATTCATTCATGATAAAGACTCTCTACAAGTTAGGTATAGATGGAAAATATCTCAACATAATTAAAGCCATATATGATAAACCCACTGCCAATATCATCCTGAATGGGGAAAAGCTGAAAGCTTTTCCCTTCTTTTCCCTTAAGAACAGGAACTAGACAAGGATGCCCACTCTCACCACTCCTATTCAACATAGTGTTGGAAGTACTAGATAGAGCAATCGGAGAAGAGAAGGAAATAAAGGGTATCCAGATTGGAAAAAATGAAGTCAACTGTCCCTGTTTGCAGATGACATGATCCTATACATTGAACAGCCGAAAGCCTCTACTAAAAAACTCCAAGAATTGATAAATGATTTTAGCATAGGGAGTATCATATATGTCTTTAATTATGTTGAGATACTTTCCATCGTTACCTAACTTGTAGAGAGTCTTTGTCATGAAAGAATGTTGAATTTTGTCAAGTGCTTTTTCAGCATCTATAGAGATGGTCATATGGTTTTTTCTTTGCTTTTATTGATGTGGTGTATCACATTTATTGATTTGCATACATTGAACCAACCTTGCATTCTTAGGATGAATCCCACTTGACCATGGTGTATAATTTTCTGTATGTGTTGCTGTATTCTGTTAGCTAGTATTTTGTTGAGGATTTTTGCATCAGTATTCGTCAAGGATCTTGGCCTGTAGTTTTCTATTTTTGGTGTATCTTTGTCTAGTTTTGGTATCAGGGTGATGTTTGCCTCTTAGAATGAGTTTGGGAGAATGGCCTCTGTTTCAATCTTTTGGAACAGTTTGTTGAGAACTGGTATCAGTTCCTCTTTGAATGTTTGCTAGATCTCTGCAGTGAACTTATCTGGTCCTGGAATTCTCTATTTTGGGAGATTTATGATAACAAATTCAATCTCTTTTATTGTTATTGGTCTGTTCAGATTTCCTACATCTTCTTGCCTCTGTATTGGTAGTTTGTATGCGTCCAGAAAATTCTGTTTCCGCCAGATTTTCAAATTTGTTGGCATATTGTTGTTGATAGTAGTGTCTAATGTTTCCCTTTATTTCTGAGGTGTCACTTGTAATACCACCTTTTTCTTTTCTAATTTTTGTTATTTGGGTCTTCTCTCTCTTTTTCTTACTTTGCCTTGCTAAAGGTTCTTCTCACCCCCAGACATGCTTATTAGGAAAACATGGTTGCAAGGCAAGATGTTAACATAGATGATTTTTCCCCTAAAGCATGTAGACAGAGGAGATAATTCCAGTTCATGAGATTCCCTTGGTGATGAGAATATGGGGCTCACTCTATTGTGATATGATGATTTCGTGTCTTGTACTTAAAGAAACATAAAAATCTGCTTAATCAGGACAGAGAAGAATGAAATGGGCAAAAGGGAGTAAAATGATTGAAGAAACTCAGATGGTCCCAAAGGACCATGATGAAGAGATAGTGGTTTTTCTTCAGGTGGCATTCCCACCCCAGTTATGTTTCTGTGATGCCTCCAATTACCAATAAATCAGCAAAGACCAATTTATTTGGAAGAGAAAAGAGAGATATATATGGTGTCAGGATACCTCACAGATTGAACATCCCAGTAGATTAATGATCAAAGGGAATAAGAAAACAGTTCACAAAAGGAAATATACAAAGTACAACAAAAGTGGATAAGTTTTAAGTGCGAAATGGTCAAAGACTTTAGTAAATGATATTATATGCAAAACTTTTGGAATTAGCAAACCAGGTTTTGAATCTTGGATCTACCACATATTTGCTGTTTGAAATTGAAGACCAAAGCCTTTCTAAATGTCAGCATCCTCTCCTGTATGGTGGACACAGTAGCATTTGTTCTCTTAAGTTTGTTGACAGATCTGATCCATATTTGTAAAAAGCTTAGCACAGTTCCTTCCTGTTGGTAAATGAATGGTTGTGACTGGTGATGAGATGAGGCAGATTTTTTTCTTTTACTTCTCAAACGAATGTCCTCATTTTATGTCCCCAATTCCATGATGTTATTTTCATTCTTTGCTGTCTCTCCAGCTATTATAAGCTGGTTGTCATCCAGTCTCATATTACTACCTGCCAAGAAATATCTTGCTATATAACAAAGGTGATCAGTCAAACCCTTGACATAAACCCCCCTAACAATGACCTACTGGCCAGTGAAGCTAAAGTTGCAGAGCTAAATATCAGTCTTAACTCTCCATGACCATCACTCCAGCTTGATCTTTACAGTGCCCTGTCCCCAACACATTGATCTCCCAAACATTGAGCTTGATGTTCAGCTTCACCAGACAGCAGATCTCCACAGCTCACCCACTACCTTCTACTTGGAGTCTCTCCCATGAGTCTATTTGGAATTTTTTACTCCTCCACCTGGAAAACTCCATCTACTCTTTAAGGAGTATGCAACATGATTACCTTCATACAAGCCTTTTTTGTTTGTTTGCTTTTCACATTCCCATAGGGAATGACACTTCCTGCATGTACTTAATTTTGATGTAGGGACTGTCACTGTGATGATTTTATTGAATTTCATGTATTATTTTTCACAGTTATGCTGTGAGCACGGTTGTGCGGTATGTAACAATGATGTACATACTCTGCCCTCCACCACCCAGATAAATTTAGTTGGAAACAGTAGCAGAGTGAGTATATATTATATAAACAATTGAGGAACTGGGGTCTCAGAGAAGTTTCTGATGATGGGAGAAAGAAAAGAAGCAGTAAATGCTAAAAGAGTTGTGGAGGTCTTGCTAAATAAATGTTTCTCCATGTTCTGAGATCTGGACTGATTGGGGTTCATGCTATGGTTTGTAAGAACTAGACAGAATAGACTAAAACACAAGAGAAAATTTTCAAGTGCATCATATATGGTAAGCGAACACACAAAATTGTCTCATGACACTCTCTGTTCAGATATGTACATGTGTGTATTTGTGTGTGCACACATGCTGGATCCTAATGTAAAATATATATCTTACTCTAGGATACAGTAAAACACAGTTTGGAATCCACTGCTGTAAGGGCAAGCATAGTTTTAAAAGGAGGACAGATTCTGCTAATGAGAGAAAAGCTCATGGGTGAAGAGCCTAACAGCAGAGCCAGGGTGTTGGAACACAGGCAGCCATCGTGGTGCTGATGTGACCTCCTGACTCAAGGGTCACATGCTGAGCAGACTCTTATTGCTCCACCTGACTGATTACAGAATTCACATCAGGGCCCTGATCTAGTTGTTATTCCTGCAACTGTTCAACATCTATTTGACCACACTTGTTTTCAAAGGTCCAATAGGGGATGAGGCAAGCCCTTCTCTCACTTTCCTTGTGGCCTTTTTTTTTTCTTGGGCTCTGGACTTTGACCTCTTTACTGACAAATACAATAAGCACAACCTGTCCTGGTTTTCTTCCTTGTCCAACATGCAGAGACCCCCCCAGAGCATACTGTATGAAACCCTGCACATACCATGAAAACCTACCCTCTTTCTTCATATCATTTATCCCTGGGGATGTTATAAACTAACAAAGACCTGGAAATAAAATAGTAAAAAGGACACTTTTTTTTGGAAACAGTGGAAGAAACAGAGTCTAACATTATAGTTTCATTCTTATATATATAACATAAGTGGATTCCAATATGCTTATGAAAAACATATAGAAAATCTTTAGGTGAATGCAAAAAATATGTTCACAATATGGCAGAATATGACTTTCATTCATAAAACATAATCCAATCACAAAAAACAAAAAGGTAACAATAAGGAAATCCAGATGTGAAATAAGATGGCAAAAGGCTTAAAAGGTGACTTATTACTACTAATGATGCAGAGGACCTTTCTAAGTGTAAAAAGTAGTGGGGGAGGGGATAGATACACAATGTGACCAACTGACCGATTTTCCCACACAAAATGTATAAAATTTCATGTATTCCCCATAAAGACATCTATACACAAACAAGTATAAAATAATTAAATGGAAAATGACACAGTAGTGAAAAAAACCCTCCATTTTTTTTCTTTGAAAGAATTATATCAAAAGATAAAAATACTCCTTTGAAAGAATGAAATCAAAAGATAAAAATACTGAGACCCCAGTACAAAAAAGCAAAGGATTTGCAATAAACAAAAAATGGCTAAGAAATCCCCAAAATATATTCATCCAAAAGAGTAATCGCAATGTATACTTTAGTGCTCCAAATTTGCCTATCAAGTAAAAGTTATTTTTCTTGATATTATAGAACTGTGGTTACCAGAGACTTGGGAGGTGAGGGGGACAGATAACAGGAAGAAGTTGGCCAACAGGTAAAAAATTACAATTGGATAGGAAAAATAAGTTCTGGAATTGTAATGCACAGTAGAGTTGCTATGGTTAACAGTTAAATTTTGTATATTACATAATAACTAGAGGACTGGTCTTTGAATGTTCTTAACACACACACACACACACACACACACACACACACACACACAAGATAAATGCATGAGGTGATAGATACATTAACTTCCATGATCTGATCATTTTATAACATATGTATGTATCAAAACATCAGATTGTACCCCATAAGTATGGACAATCACAATGTGTCAAAAATGAATTTTTTTAAAAAAAGAGAAAAAATAAAACTTATTTTTCAATGTGAGTACACAACATGGGAGAAGATACTGTGAAATGAATGCCTCATGAAGTGCTGTTGCAAGGTAGTATGAGGGTACTTCAAAAAGTTCATGGAAAGATCTGTATTACCTTTCAATTCTAATTTGCCATGAAATTTTTGATATCCTCTTATACTTGTAAGCAATCCATCGGTCTAATCTCCACAATGAATACTAAAGCACACTCAAATACACTGCACATTAAAAGTTCAATTTTAAAAAAAGGCCTCAATTCACTGCACATTTCTCCACTCCTAATCCATTTTCTTACCCCCATACTGCAAAACTCCCTGGATATGTTCTAATTTTATGGGAATTACTTTATACTTCCCATTCCTTCC